TGATCCTCATTACAACATTCCCAACAACTTCCTTCAGGAGACAACTGAAGTTAACCTTCCCTATAAATTGTAGGATTTTTTCCGTGTATTTGTTTCTATCAAATTATTTTTTTCATATTTGGTGGAGTTGATGCCATGTTCCATTCTAATTATTGAAACAATTCATGATTCAGTATTTTTTTCAAAGTATGAGACATTCTCAATCCTCATCCAACACAGAGGTTCACTCGTTCTCTCTAGAAGCTCTGGAGATATTCTTCAGAGGAATGAAGTATACCTAGAGATGAGCAAAATATTAAATGGGATTGAAAAAGTAGTTTAGTGGTGACACATAACCCAGATCAATACTTTAGGATGCAACAAGACAGTAGAACAAGAGGACCTAGGATTAGATTTGTACTGGGCAATTTCAGCAAAGATATCAAGAAGTTTTTCTGTAGCCAGAGGGTAATCAATGACTGGAACAGGTCACCAGGAAATATGGTAGAAGCCAGTACACTGACGTCATTAAAAAGTAGCTTGAGGCAGGGATGAGGGTACGGTAGGGTGGGTGTTCTGGAACGATGAGATTAGATGGGCCGAAGGGACTTCTTCATCCCAACCAATTTGGTGATTTTGTGTGCCTTCAGCCGTCTATGTTGTCTCTTTGCAGAATTCATTTTTCAAAAACGTGCTCTGAACAAAATAAGATTGTGCAGGCAATTTGGGTCATGATTTAATATCCCACTCGTGGCATTGATCGCATCACTAATAACTTTGTTGCTTATGAGTGAGTTAACAAAACATTTCCCTCTCCCGTCCACAAATCTTAGCCCATGAGTCTTCCTAATGGCATCTATTTACTAAATGTGTTAGTGCCATCGAGTGGCAGAACATTAATACTACACCGGGTTTGAATGAAAATTATATCCACAGATGGTCAAACTGGATGAGATGACGTGAACAAGACAACAACGTGCATTTATACAGTGCCTTTCCCAATCAGAGAGCCTTTCAGTGGTGGTGGTGGGGTGGGGGAATGTTGAGCAAGTTGTAAAAGAGAGGAGGAAAGAGGTGACCATAGATTTGGTCAAAGAGGCAAGTTTTAAGTTGAGAGTGCAGGAGAGACAAAACATGGAACATAAAGTTTTTTTTAAGCCACATCTGAATTTGTGTCCATATAAAATCAAGGATTGAGGGAGAACAATGTCTTAAAGTGATGTGGAGGTTTTGTTGATCACTGTTTGCTGTTTTTAGCTACAATGCAGAGGCAAATACCGTACCATTTCCCAGTGGTTTCGTGAAGTATTCTTTCTGCTACCTTTACGAATATACTTTGCACTTTCTAAACGTATGACGTCAGCAAGGAACATCTCATTATTGGTGATCTGAGTTCTAAAGATTAAAATCAGAGTCCAATTAACCTGGCCTCACTGTAGAATAAAAGCTCACATCACAGGATATAGCCCTCTGGAGAGCTCGATTCTGTTTGTTTGTGACTCACTTTCCTTGTGTGTGACGCTAATGCCATGAGAAGTAAGCAAAGTGTGCCAGCCCACGCCTATTCAAAAGCAATGTCAAAACAAGCGTCTGACAAGCAGATACATGGACTTTATTTGCAGCATTCCTTCCTACTTCCACTTCATGCATTATTTGAGAGAAGATCTTGAACATCAATGCCTCCTGTAGTCCTGTACTGTGTTTACTCAGTACTGCAGAGCTTTTTTTTCTAACAAGGATGAATTGTTGAAGGCACTGACACAAGACACGAACGATGATCTTCATTAAACCAGGTGCAAATTGGATAGCATGACATTTGAGTTGCACCCTGTTTGAGTTAGAAAAAAGCTTGAGTATGCTTGATCTTCATTGATGCTGTAGGAACAAACTCTAAATATGATAGTAATAATCCTTACAATTGATATCACCCACAAAGTATACAGTCAGTTAACTGTATTATAGTGTATTCTGTGAAGCACTTTGAGACATCTCGAAGACATAATAAGGCGTTATATTAAATGCATGGATTATTCATATCCTCCTGACGTGAAAGGCGCTCTATAAATGGAATCTTGTTGTTGTTGTTGTTGTTATTATTATTATCATGCCATTGAGATGTCTCAAAGTGCTTCACAGAATATATTGTAAAGGGAATTGACTATATTTTGTGGGTGAAATGCAGCAGCCAATTGCACAGTGTGCCACAAACAGTGATGGATTTAATCACCAAATGTTTTTCTTATTTTTGGAGGGATTATTACCCCGGAAAGCGATCCGCCAATCGACTAACAATCAGGTTCCCACTTAATACTAGGTAAACAGAGGTGTGTGGAGTAAGGAAACTTGCCTAAGGTTCCGCCAGAAATCAAACGAGACGAGTGAGCTAATCACTACGCTACAGGTCTAAATGAAGTAGGTATCAGCTTCACTCAGTTGGTGCTATAGTATTTTTGTTCAAAAGGTTGTGGGTTCAAGCCCCATGTCGGGACTTTGAATTTATAGTCTGGGGCCGACACTTCAATGCAAGGCTGGGAAAGCACTGCTTTGTTAGAGGTGCCATTCTTTGGGTCCAACGTCAAATCACAGTCAATGGTCCCCACCCCTCCTATGTTCCAGCTATTTGTGGTGTATTTATTGGGAAGTTTTCAAATAAAATTGAAAAACATTTCTATGTTACATTTGTTAAGGATTACCATCTCACAGACTCTCCTGAATGTAACCAGGAAAACAACTGAACAGCAGACCCTGGGACCTGTAGCCCCATGCTGGGGCTCTCACATTATATTTAGTTCCATTATTCACACAGGTTGCATGTGTTGGAGGATCCATAACAGGGAGGCTAGATATTACTCTCTTCTCTTTCTCCTTCTCACCACCCCACCCCACCCCCCCATCCATTTATGACATTATAGCTACATGAGTTGCTTTCTGGAAACCTGAAGGATTGATCATAAATCACTGATATAATCCTATGCACTGTAACTGCAAAGACTTAAGTCTCATCAACTGTACCGTTTGGCCTGGGTTAAGCTGTGTGACTCACTTATTTATTGTTACTGTCGTAATGGAAAATAAATAACTGTGTCAAAGAAGAGGTTGCTTGTGCTCTATCAATGGTATTTTAATTAGTTCTGATGCTAAAGCACAGTAACAGGGGAAGATGAAATGTTTGACAAACCGGCATTTAAAGACTACTGCAGTAACATCAACCAAGATCTTGCTCTTCGTTCAGAAATTATTACCTTTCCTTTTCCATTTACTTACCTGTTTCTCCTCCTCCCCACCACCACCCTCAACCCTTAAAAAAAATCCCTCTGCAATACTTCACCTGCATTGAGATATAAAGAGTTTTCATGAGTGACACCAAATATCTCAAAGTGTTGAAAGTGTATTGATTGACGCTAAAAAAGGGATATAGAAGAATAGCCATTGGACATTGGTACAGAAAACCAGTGGCAACTTCATGATACTGTCACACACTCTATGTAGCAAGATTTGGTAGAAATTCCATCTGTATCAGAGCGTCCAAAATTTGGAATATTCTTAAATAATTTCGAAACTGTTTTTCTGTAAGTCTTAAGTCTTAAGAACTACAGGGAACCTTCTTCAAAGTTTATACCTGAATTCAATCTTAATCCTAACCCGAATCTTACAAACCCAATTGATCCAAGTGCTAAAATGTTTGTTTCATTAGTCTGTCAAGTAGGTTAATTTTTTATTCCCTCTGATGCAAAAAAAAGTGCTCTCTGGGTGGTTAAAGTACGGATTGAGTGTGCAGTCTAACAACATCATAACATAAGAATTTGCTAGGTGAAAGAAGACCAATGTCTATCTGGTTCTCCTTCCATGATCCTGGCAGTTGCTTGTATCCCGAGATATTATTTTCTAGAATGGAATGCCTGCAGCTTTGGAATTCCTACACGATGATTAAAGGAGAGTTCATTCTATGTTTAAATACTGTTTCAGATAGGTAGAAATAGAAATATACCCATGGAGTTTCTCCCTATGGTTTAAATAGTTTCTTACTAGTTAAGTTCTGGTTTCTAGGAGTCTTCTACTGTGAAGCTGTATCAACCCTCCACTTAGGCTGTCTCATGTGGGGATATATACTCAGATGGGGCATCTCTTTAGCGCTATTGAATGAAGATCTCTCTTTGCTGGTTTTGTTGCTGAAACACAACATGGCCTTAGAGAGAGAGAGAGAAATAAATAAATCTAAATCTCACAGGGATGGCCTCCAGAAAGCTGCCAGCATTGTGTAGTGAAAGGGGTCTGCTGTGGTTAGGAGGTAGGGGAAGGTTACCCTGCTCTGTCTGGTCTTTGTGTTTTTCACAGGCTGCCATAGAGAAAGTGGGAAGGGGATTTCTCTCTGCCTGTAGAGGTTGTGTGTGTGTGGATGGGTGGGGGGGAGGGTAGAGAATACCTTTGCTTCCTGCCATCCTCACAAGGCAGCGTAGCCTGGACTGCTAACCGGGTGGAGGGCGCTATATAAAATCCAAGTTGTTGTTGTTGCTGTTGTTACCGCTCGGACCTGACCTCGGGTCAGAGCCAAAGACAACAATGACAACTTGCATTTCTGTAGCGCCCTCCACTCCGGACGGCGTCTCAAAGCACTTTAATTTCTTTAATTTAATTTAAGCGCTTTAGTCTCACAAGTCCCCGCAGAAAACACAGTTCACGCCTCAGGTGCTCTCTCCAGCAGTTCCTCTGTCCAAACTACTTTCCGCAATTCACGCAGGATAGCGTCCTAGAGCGCTTGAAGACCCCGGGCACAGTAGTGTGATGTCACAGATCACGGATCACAGGTGCTTACCACCTCCTAGCCCCCACTCCCCTCAACCCCCCCACCCCCCCGCCCCACCATTGCTTACGTTGTTCAAGTGCTTTTGAAGTGCAGTCGTTTTATTCTCAACGCCGAATGCTTTTCTCGCAGTCAACTATAAAACACCAGGAATTGAATTTGTTGAGCAGCTGTGATTTGTCTTCATGAAATGTATAACTAAACCGATTTCTTCTTGTAGGTACCAGTCTGCGGAAGATTTTGCCTGCAGCTGACTGCTAGAGTAACTATGGCATCTCGAGACGCCAGTCTTCTTAAATCTCTGTCATTGCCTGTCCAGGGGTAAGTGCTGGACTCATTTCATTAATTAATTGCTTCAATGTACAACAAGTTGCTGGCCGAAAATGGATTCTGATGTAATATCTGAGAAATAGCTTTAGTGGCAATGTGCCGCAATGTGCTGTGATCAGCAATATTAGATGCATATCTGAAACGTTCAGGCAGATTGAAGCGCTGTGACCTTAGCTCAACAGAAAACGCAGCTCAGTAAATGTAGCTTGTGCTTTAACTGCTAATAGGCCATTAACTGTGCCGTTAAGCAAAATACTTCAAAAGAATCGGAAATGACCGTGTTCAAAGCAGTCCAGTTGCATTTTACAATAGTCTAAAATTGACACCATCTAACTGAAGGTAAATTGAAGGTTTAAAGTGCAGGCTGTATACTGTGACAGCCTATGGATCATAGTGGTTGCAGTTGCACTTAGTTTGAGGCCCACACAACTGTGCAGCTGGTCTAACAATGCAATGGCTGAGCCAAGGTTATTGAAACGCATGTGGACTGAATGTGGTTTGCAATGGTGTTAGTGATGTGGGTCGTGGATACAGGAGCCCCTCGAGGATATTCCTCCATGCTATAAGATCATGGCTGATCTGTACCTCAAATCCAATTACCTGCCCTCACCCCGTATCCCATAATACCCTGACCTAACAGATAGCTATCCTCAGGCCTCCCGCATTCTTGATAAATGGAAGTCAAAATTGCTCTGAACAACAGCGTCTTTCATGTCGGAAGAACTTACCAAGGCACTGATTTTGTGCGACTGATTCTAATGTTGTGGGACTGATTTCCAACGCACCCCTGTGGGGAATGTGGGTTGCAGGTTGGGTCACACAGCACTGATATGCAACACAAATGTGAGGATTGGGTCAGCACCCGTTGTTTATGTGTTGTACAAGGATTCCAGCAATGGCATGTTTTATTGGAGGTGGGTTAGGGGAAATGAGCATTGGCATTGAGTGTACAGACCGAAAAGCAATCAATGATCTTGATCCTAGTCTTCTGACCTCATTGCAAATAAGTGGCTATTTAAGGTAGAAGGAGCTTTTGGAAAGAGTCTGCGGTGGAGGGGAAAACTACTGAAAAGGAATGGAAAGAGACGAATAGATCTATCTCGTTTCTGGGCACGAAATGGCAACATTTCACACATGAACGACCTACGTATCTGATTCATGACTTCATTGCTCACAGACAACGTCGCTGTTCATTTATGAAATATTACCCACATCTCACTCTTCTATGTGTTATATCCCTTATGCAATTGAGCAATGTCAGGTTTATCAGTCAGACTCTGTAAAAATAGTTTAATTGGCATTATTTATTAACATTGTACACCATCTGTGGGTCAAATATTGTTCAGCTTTTGCTGAAGTATTTATTGTATGATTCTTGTTTTGAATGGGATGAATTCATCAGTACTGCTTGAGCAAGGCTTCCTAAACTCTCATGTGTCCAATTTGAGTACAAAATCATGTGATTGACTTTGGCGTGTGCTACAGCGCGCTGCTTGGCTCACTCTAGTTAGTAGAGCTCTTGCCTCGAGGCCAGAAGATTGTGTGTTTGAGTCCCAGAGCAGGATTTGACCACTCCAGTGCAGTGCTGAGGGAATACAGAATTATCAAAGATATTGACTTTCAGATGAAACATTAATTCAAGGTTGCGTTAGTCCATCTGGACTTTAATGGTTCCTGAGCACTGTTTTGAAGAAGGGAAGGCGGTTCTGCTGCTGTCCTGGCTATTACTCTTCCATTGTTCTAATACCACGTTCGTCCTAGAAAGCACAGTCATTAATTACACTTTACAGTAAATCTTGTGAAGCGTTTTGAGGCACACTCCTGACATAAAAGGCACTGTATCATATGTGAGGATTATTATTACTAAACCTTATGGTGTTATTAAGATTATGAGAAGGTACGAGATGTTTTGACATGAAATTTCCACCTGTGCAGGTGACTCATATGTGGAACTCTCAGTCTGGTTTGAATACTCTTAAGCCTGATGATGGATTTCTGCATGTAACAGACAACAGGCCTATCAAAAGTGGCAAAAAATTACCCCTCTGTCACTCGCTGCCCAGGGTTGGCCCATGTACAATTGCTCCTTGAGGGAGATACAGGAGATGGCTGACCCTCATGCTACCTACCCACCCTGGGATTGAGGCACAACTTTCAGATGACAAGTTAAGGGGGATCAGTAGTAGCAATATTAACAATTTAAATGATTGTACACTCAATCAACTCCTCTTCCTGAGCCACGCAATATGTAACTGGGGTCAGTGCAGCTTTATTCCATAAACCAGATGTGCTCTTCAACAAACATGCTTTTGTTTATTGTGCGGGAATGTAAAAATAAGTGGGAAGTCCACTGCAGTGTACAAAAGGCTACACATCTTGCTTTGATGATCAGAATTCAATTTAAATGATTTAGTTGAATGCAATGCTGAATTGCCTGAGGCACTTTCTTAGGCTGGATTGGTCGCCATTAGCATGTGTTACAGACTGAATGTTTATTGCAACTCTTGCAACCAAGCCTGCAATTGATATGTACAATTACAAATGACTCTGAGACATCATTACCATATTTCACTGACAATACTGCCATTATATATTCAAGTGGTGATACACAATTCAACTGAGCTGAATGCTATGGGGTTGCTATTAATAATAATAATCCTGTCATTTGGTGCAGTGCCTTTCATGTTGGGAGGACGTCTCAAAGCGCTTCACTGGATTTACTGCGAAGTGGAGTGACTGTGTATTTGTAGGCAAATGCACAGTCCGATTACACACAGCAATGCCCCATAAAACAGCCTTGAAGCCAATGACCAGTTTTATTTGGGTGATTGTTGGGCAGAACTGCCTTCTCTTTTTGAATAGCGCAACAAGTTCTTTAACATCCACTTGAACAAGCCGACAGGGCCTAGGTTTAACATCTCATCCAAAGGATGGTGTGTCTGACAATGCAGTACACCCCAGCACTGCCTTGGAGTGTCAGCCTAGATTGCCTTTGACCAAGTAGAAAATGGATTTGTAACAAATAAGTCAAGAAATCAAATTTGCTGACGTTTTAAGCTCCGTTGATAGGCCTTGGCAACAGTGAATAAAGCCACCCTCAGCAGAGCACCTGGCACAAGTGCTTTCTTTTCTGAACTTCGCAAATTCAGGATAATAATAGCTTTTGCAGAGAAAGCATTATATCTATCAACTCCTACACTTTGAATCGGACATCAGTGATACTAAAAGATCAATTTTCTCATTATTCCCATCTTTCTATGACTCACATGCACTCTCTAAATGAAATGGAAGTGTTGGCCTTACACCAGATTAATACGGGAATAGATGTGACCTCACAGAATAGAGACAGAGAAATTTGAATTGATCACAACTTTATATGAACACTATAAATTGTTATCCTGATATGGTACTGTGTAACAATGCCACATCACATTTTATTATTATTTATCCAGTGTTATTTGATATTCCTTGGACAGAATCTATTACATTTTTGAGATAAGTCCCATTTAATAGCTTAAAACTTTATATTGATGAATACTGAATTCATGCCATTTATATACTGTTGATGTTGGTTTCGATTCATATTTTACGTCCACTTGAATTTAGTACATAACCTATTTTAATGACTTTATATACTCTTTTTACGGGGCTTAGATATGCAGAGGATTGTGTTCCCGAAATGAACAACTCTGTAACAACTTTGGTGTTTACAATAATACTTGAATTAATGTGCTTACAAAATAAGCACTTACAGCATATCCTTTGAAGTGCTTTGAGGCGTCCTCCCAATGTGAAAGGTGCCATATATATGTAAATTGTATTGTATTCAGCTTTAGTCCTGTTCTTGAAATAAAAGTGAGTGACACTGCCACATAGAAACATTCTATATGTGAAGAACTGCGAAACACACAGATGAAAATTCTAGCAAGTGTTAGAAGCAACTCTATTGGTAATGTTGGCCTATTATAATTGCTCAGCGCCAAAAGTGCTAGGTGGAATGCTAACTTGAATTTTGCACTAGCCCCATAAATTCAACAATAAGTTATATTTATACAGCAATAATAATAACAGCTTTCCTGTCTGGAGGAGGTTTCAAAGCATTTCACATAACTGACCAGAAATCGGAACTTGGCAGGGGTGAAGGAAAGGTTTTACGATTGCACAGAATTGTGGAAAATTCTTCAATACTGGCTTAATTTGGAAGCCATTTTAAGTTCTTTTTAAGAACTGTGGAAACGCTGACTGCTGAATTGAAACAGAATTTAATGATTTTTCCCAATTCTGCTTAATTTCGAAATGTAACACAACATTTTTTTTGTTAGCAAAGACCAGGCGAAATTTCAAGTCTTAAAAGTCTTAATTAATCCACCAACTTGTGGACCCTAACTTGTGGACTCTGGATTTTGTTAATCGACACCTTGGATCTCAGTGAACCTGGTATCACCTCAGGCAAATTGGCTGCATTGTTCACGTACAAATGCACCATCACTACATACTTCACAGTAAAATGCTACTAAGCACTCTGAGACATCTTGACGATGTGAAGGTGCTATATCGAATGCAAGGATCATTATATCGTACAAGCCTCCTACGTAACTCCCATCAGTAGGTGTGACTGGGTGCTCAGGGTCCAGACTCGTATCCACGAGACAGCGTTGTGTACCTTTTACTTCAGGAATTGAATTGTATGAATTTGTACACTACTCCACATGCTTCCATAGCCCTAGTCAAATGGTCTCAAAGTGCTTATACATAACACATTTTATCCTTTTTCTTACATAGTTACAGAGGCAGACGTGATACATAGTTAATAGGGATTCACCTTGGGAATTGGCGAAACATTTATGTTGCATTATTTATGCAACATAAGCCTTCACAGTGTTTGCCGATGATGCGTTGGTAGTCAGGCGACAAGCAGTGAAAAAAGCCATTCAGTGTATTTGATCGAGATATAGAGTTGACCCTGGTCAGTTTCTGACCAGCTTTTGCTG